AGGAATTAAGGTACTCTTGTGGAAAACAGACTAGGTTCCAAACTTTCATTAGGAACTAATGTGAATTTTGTTGTCCATTTTTAGGTTAATTAAAAATCATTGTATATTACAGAGTATTCCAAGAATTTTCAGTAAGTTTTCAGTTAAGGAAGCACGCAAAAACTGTAACCAGAATAAAAACCGTTACATCGATATTCTCCCATGTAAGTATTCGTTACGAATTCTCTATACTGTATGTATGTTTTCTTGTTTTCATTTATCTCAGTTTATGGAAACAACATGTTAATTTTATCATTTTTTAAATTATCTAAACAGATGATTATAACCGTGTTGAACTCTCCGAAATAATGGGGGAACCAGGATCGGACTATATAAATGCAAGCTATATAGATGTGAGTGACTTTTGGTAAAACTAAACAATTTTACTACAATTGAACAATTGAAAAAAATGTTTATCTTCTTTCCTTTTTACCAAATACATTTGATTGATTGTTCTGGAATGAAACTTGTTAATTGTTTAGCTCTTTCTGTCCTTATTCTACAGTTGGTATTATCAAATTCATTCCCATGTTATATGTGAAATATATACATTTCTCATGTGGGAAACCTTTTCATCTTGTTTATCCTTATTTTTATTAGGGCTTCAAGGAACCAAGAAAGTACATTGCAGCACAAGGTAAAACTTTACATTTTTTATTTAAATCTTTCTCTAGTTACCTTCTGATCAAGGTGGTGAAATCAATCACATGAATATATTTAGCAAAAAAGGGGGCAACTGAAGAAGGATGGATTTTATTAAATAGTAAAGGGATGCAGGTTAGTTTTGGTTTGGGGAGTTATCACTTTTCAGGAGCAGAAAGGAACTTTTGTATCTCATGCTTCATATATTTAATTAAGAGGATTTAGTTGTATGCTACAGAGATTTTGCACTTCTCAGTTATGAAAGAAAAAGTTTTAGAAGTTTTTAAAATTACATATGCTAATGATAGGAGAGTCATAGAATCGTTTAATTTAGGCTAATGTTGCATGTCCAGTACTTGGCTTCTGAGCCTATATGATTAAGTATGGTAACTAAATCATAGTCTTTCAGTGTTTCTTGAGTCTTTGAAAGAGTCATCTTATCAAAGACTTTGTTTGCTAGGTCCCAAGGATGAGACTACTGATGATTTTTGGAGAATGATCTGGGAACAGAAAGCGACAATTATTGTCATGGTGACTCGCTGTGAGGAAGGAAACAGGGTGAGGACTATATCTGTTTATAAATCACTTGGTTACTGTATACGGTAGGTCACTCTGCTTTGGTTAACTATGCTTTTGTTTCTTTTAGTATTTTTTCTGTGTTCAGATGTTTCTTTTAAGTCCCTTAGCATTCTTGTTTGCTGCTGTCTTCTTGTCTTAGAGTCTCTGACATTTATATGTTTGATTTTCAGCCTTATCAGTAATTCCATCTGAAGCAAAGGCTTGAGGAATAAGGAATTAAGTGTCACCTTCTTGCTGATAAACCCATAAATACAGAGATTTATTTTAAGCTACTGGACTTAGAAATTGTTGCATTAGAGTAAAATCCCTCCCTTTGTAGATTTGTGACAACATTCACCTTCTGAGATGAGAATGTAGATTAGTACAATATTCCTTGTTCTGGACATGCTGCTAATAGAGTTGAAGGACAGTTGAGCAAGGGCTGATGTACATGGAGGAGCATGATTAGGGTGTCTGCTTGCCAGAAAATTTAAGCAAGAGTCACATACAGCCTGTCACAGACTGGCTAGGCGCTGTGAGTGTATCAGCTGTTAGGCTTCTGGGTTCGGGATCAAGGAGGCGAGTTGGGAGTGAAAAAGGCAAATTTACTTATAGCTTAGCATACAACAGTTAACAGAAAGGTTAATGTGACAAACAGATAGTATAGTAATAAAGAGCTAATAGTGAATAATAACAACAGATAGACAGAATGACAAAGAGTTCCCACATGGGGTTGGCAACTTATTGGCAGTCCCTCTATGCCAGGTGCGCACCAAGTTGTTCCAGCAAAGTCAGGCATCCCCAGTCAACGCTGTCCGAGGGGTCACCGGGAAGATCCCTTGGTCTGGATCCGGTCCTCACTCACACTGGGAGTCTGGGGTCCAGGCTTGGTATAGCGATGGGCCTTCTGTCCCATCCTTCTAACTGGTCACTTGACATGCACATTCCTTTATGCCTTATCTTATGGTAATCTGTTGGCTTTAGAGCCACTCACAATCTTCCCCTATAGCTGTTACCCTATGGGATCAAAAGGTGTTAGAAATTATCATGCAAGGTTACTGCCCGAACTCGGGTTCACCCAGTAAGCAAATTATACCACATTACTTTGAGGTTTGAAATTAGCATTACTTTGCCCAAACTCAGCCCCTTAGTTTCTTATTCCTGGATTCCTTGGAATGTGCTAATTATATTAGGTGGTCAGATCTTGTTATGGCTGACCTTTAAAAAACCTGTTAAATCAGTTAATCTTGTATCTCTCCTTGTTTTGGGGGCCCATGATCAGGGCAAACAGTTAGATTAAACTGGTGGTTTAATCTAACCACCAGTTAAATTACGACAGACAAATTCCACTTGTGGAATTTGGTTAAATTACGACAGACAAATTCCACTTGTGGGTTGCAAACTTGCAAGCTTTGCATTAGCTAATCTTACCTGATAAACAATTGCCTGGATGTCTCCAAGAGCATATATTTATTGCTCATGATAGTAACCCCTCTGGTTCTGGCCAACACAACAGCCACAACCTTAATTGCAATTTTCAGATTGCAACAATGGCCTCTACCACTTAGTGGATAGACTGCTTTCCAATCTTGTACATAAATTCTGTGGACAAAACCTGCAAGCTTTATGCATTACAGCAGCACCTGGCCTTTTTTATGCTTAAATCAGTGATGAACTCTGTACAAAATTAATTACATGCATCTCATAAGCTGAAATTATACTAGTTTATAAGTTATGGTTTTCTTTTATTTCAGGAATTCTTCAAAATATCCTCTCTGTCAACTAGATATTGCGCCTTTAATTATGTACTATGTATTTTATAGAACAAATGTGCCCAGTACTGGCCATCCATGGAGGATGACACTGCAACTTTTGGGGATATCGTTGTGAAGATAAATGAAATTAAAACGTGCCCTGACTACATCATCCAAAAACTGAATATTACCAATGTGAGTTGTTTTATTAACACAAAGATGTTCTGAATTGATTTGCATGCTTATAGTACAAATACATTATTATGAAAGTCTTCTAAAACACCAGTTAATGGGAATGGAAGACATTTCTCCTGCTTTTGCCAAACAACCTAAAACAACACCAGGTAGATGCTGGGTGATATAATATTGCAAATATGCAATGGAAATATATTTCCTAACTAATTTTCCCTCCCTATTGGTTTCAATGTTATCTTTGTCTTGCAAATTGATGGCAAGATTGTGGCTCCTAGAGCAGCATTGTCTACCATTATAGTAAATATAGAAGGAGACAATTAAAGGCCATTTTGAAACAAGTAGAGTGTCAACAAACCAAATCCATATTGCGTCCACGTTTGTGTCTTTTAGGCCTTATTCTGCTACTCTTGAGCAGAAGCTTTACTCTAGAGGGTAATCCAGGTACAACAGCATTAGCATATAAACTATAGCATGAGGATATTGAGATGTAGCTGTTAATTAAACTGTGACATAACACTTAGGAGGGATTCTAGGTTGGCGTAGCAAGTTTATTAGAGGTCAAAAGAAAGGCGCATTGATTATTTTGTGTAAATTGATTTGTTTATAGTTTGCCTATTTGTCTTTAAAGCCATGTTAACATGTTGTGGTACATAATACTTAAAGTACTATAAGTTATCAATTTTCTTTTGGGAGGGGCTGAAAATGAGTAAAACTAGTTCTTATGCAGTTAAATCCACAGAGGGTGCATCTACATGTGCAATTGATGTACACAAATAAACTCTGGAGCATATTGCTCATGCCTCAGCCATCCATTCCACAGCATGTGGAGCCTTGTCAGAGCAGCCAGCCTAGGGTTGTTCTGCTGGGGCTCCACATGCTGCTGAGGGTCTGACTGAAGCATAAGGGTGCTTCAGTGCAGGGCTAGCCAGCAGGCAGCCCCTGTGCTGAAGCATCTCTGTGCCCCAGCCAGCCCCTGCAGCACATGGAGCCCCAGGGCTGCTCCAGTGGAGCTCCATGTGCTGCAGAGTGGCTGGCTGAGGCATGAGGAGCCTCTGAGCTGAAGCACCCTCCTGCCTCATCCAGCACCCCCACTGCACATGGAGCCTGGTTGGAGTAGCCCTGGGCTGACTTGCTGGGTCCCCCAGCCAGCCTCATCACCATTTACACATGCTTTTAAGCGCAATAATTTACTGCTCCACTGGGTAGTACTTGTATTTGACAGGACTATCTGATGGCACAGTAAATCAGTCTACTGTGTCCTAATTGCCATGCACGTAGATTAGTCTACTTTGCAGCAAAGCGCACATGTAGATGTGCCCAGAGTTAATGGTTTGTGGCTTAACGGTAGTTCACTGCTGGTAATATGTATAATAAATTTGATCATAGATGGAAGAACTTTCAGTACTTTGTATTATTAAAGCCCTTAACCTCATGGCTAGTTTTATTGTAATTTAGGCTTTATTGTTAGATCTCTATCTCACAACAACAGTTCAGAAACCTTCAAAATGTTCTGCTACATCAGTCCTAACCTATCATATAGTGATAACAAAATATCCCATTACTCTTGTATAATGCTGAATGACACTTTGGAGGATAGGATTAGAAAATGCTGGATATGCACGTCACCAGTGTATTCTAGGAATAATGTATCCTGCATTTATGTTGGACCAAATGCTTCTTGAGGTTCCTTTCAACCCTGTGATGATATGATTCTATATTTTGCTAATTTTGTTTCACAATCATGGTTCCCCAGTTACCAAAATGTCTGTTCTTTACCTCTCCTCAAGGGAATCAGGCACCAGGTTTACAGTAGGTTCTCTGATTTTGTAGAACCCAGTGTAATGTAATCCTTGAGCACAGTGAGTTAGAAAACAGTACCATTATGAGTGATAGGTGTAGGGCGCAGACAGAAATTACATATGTTGGTAAATCAGCCTCTTGAAAGTGCCCTAAAGTCACACCCAAACAGATGAGCATGGCTGCAGAGTACTTCAATTGCACAGCAAATTAATCCTCATTGTATGAGGGTTCAAATGAAGATACTCCAAAGTGGAGTACTTTCATTAATTTCTGTTGGCTCTGGCACCGGGCTGATGTAGCACAGCCCAGCCCCCAGTGCTGTCTCAGGATGGGAGGGCAAGAAGGTAGGGGAGGGAGGTCCATTCTGGGGTTTTCCCAGCCAGGCTGGAGGGAGGATGGTAGGTGGAATGGAGTGCCCCTGAGGTAAGACCTGGGAGCTGCACTTCTGTCTGTGCCCATAGGCTTTGCTGTTGCCACTTTTATGGCTTCATACAGACATTTAGTTTCTCCTGGGAGAATCGCTATTCTCCCAGGAGAAACTATGAGAACTAAGAGTGTACAGATTGTCAGGCTTTTTCTCCCAGAGTAAAAATGGTCATTCCAAGAGAAAAATAACCTGGTAACAACCATTTAAACCACTCCCAGGAGAGTTTCTTCTGGGAGAGCAAATGGCTGTACATGCTGTGGCTTCTCTCAGAAGAGAACACAGTCCTTCAGCATCTCCCCCTGCTCCCTTCTGGAAGATAGTATGTTTCTAGATGGACTCTGCTGCTCCAGAAGGAAGCAGAAAACGCCCCTTTCACATCCCCACATTGTGCTTCAGGGAAGCACAGGCTAACCATAGATGGTCAGGGTCAGGCAATCAGTGCTGCCCTATGCACTGCTGCCATTTGTTACCCTGATGGCTAAGGGAGCCTTCAGAGCATACTGAGATGTGTGCACAGAAAAAGGACCCCCTTCCTCCTGCTACCCCCCACTTCCTGGCTGTACAATGTTGGCACTGCAAGCTCTCCACTCTTCAGGGCTTCAGCATTCAAAGGTCTATACACATGGCTCTGGGTAAGTTTCTCTACCAGGAGAACAAGCCTGAAATGTATGTACACAACCATATTTCTGAGTTGCAGTTGCCTTCCTTCAATCCATTGTGGGTGTGGGCATTAATTATTTTAGGAGGGAATTAATAGCTTAGATGACAGAATAACAGGTCTGGGCAGCAGACTTATACTCTAACTGCCTGGTTCATTTAGATGTTCAGTATTATATTGTGATGTTATTCCATATCTTCACAAAAAAACCCAAGATTGCTCCAATTATAGTAATATTGGATTGTGTGCTGCTGATTGTGAACTCATTTCTTTTAGTTAACAAATGTTCCATATAGAAAGCTATTATTTTCTGCCATTGTTTTGTTATTAAAATTGGATTAGAGCAAAGTTCAAACTTGTGAAACCTTGCCAAAACCTCATGACTGTAGAATATTTGGAATTTCTGCTGCCACATTAGCTGACTACTATATCTGTTTTCTTCTGCTTTATTCTATACGTTGTGTTTCATTTGACTTTGATATGGTACTAATGAACCAATTTCACTTTTTCCAGAGAAAAGAGAAGACATCTGGGAGAGACATCACTCACATTCAGTTTACTAGCTGGCCTGACCATGGTGTGCCTGAAGACCCGCATCTCCTCCTCAAACTGCGCCGCCGAGTTAACGCTTTAAGCAACTTTTTCAGTGGCCCAATAGTGATTCATTGCAGGTAATATTACATTCTAGTGATAAATACCAACAAAAACTACCCTAAATAAGCATGTCAGAAAACATTAGAAATGATAGCTTAGGCCAAAGATTGTTTTAAAGGTACCTATAGCAATCTAAATTTCAAATGTAAACATGCCATTCAGATCAACTGGAACTTTGAAAAGCAACCACTTTTCAATTTAGCTGGCTCTAAGCACCATATTTGAAAAATATTCTCCTTATTTCTTTCAAAAATGCAAGTTTAATTGAGTTCTGCATTGCAGATTAATTTATAGTAAGCCACATTGTTTTCACTTGTACTGTACATCCTGTACATTGCATTCCCTTACTTAATAAGACTGATTGCTACTATCTCCTCTCAATAACTTTGTAACATTTTACTTGTCAGTGCTGGTGTTGGACGCACTGGGACCTATATTGGCATTGATGCAATGCTGGAGGGGCTAGATGCAGAAGGCAGAGTTGATGTTTATGGCTATGTTGTAAAATTACGCCGACAGCGATGTCTCATGGTTCAAGTAGAGGTATGTTTTATTTATTGATGCCTTTCTTTGCCTAATGCTAGTTAAAACTAAGATAACCACAATTTTTTTACTGCAGCTATCTAGAGAGACATACAGTTATGAAAGAAGGTGGAGATAAAACTATTTGGGAAGTAAGGATATTCATTATTTTCTGTATTATGAGACTTCAACAAGTTTTTGTTATAATTGAATTTTTAGGCAATAAAGGCAAAAAGATATATTTAGGAACCCAAGGTTTGACATGCAGTTTCAATACTGTGGTTTATTCAAATGCATATATTCAGTGGGGCAAAGTTAAAATTTTAAGTTCAAAAATAGTTTTAACATTTAAAATTGTTTAGATGGGACTTTAAAAAGTTTCTGAGTTAGGAATCATAGAAAGTTAGAGTTGGAAGGGACCTCAAGAGGTCATTTTTTAATCCAGTCCCCTGCTCAAAGGAGGACCATCCCCAGATAAGTCATTTCAGCCAGGACTTTGTCAAGACAGGCCTTAAAAACCCCCAAGGATAGATTCCACCATCTCTCTAGGTAACCTGTTCAAGTGCTTCACCACCCTCCTAATGAGAGAGATTTTCCTAAGATCCAACTTAAACCTCCCTTGCTGCATCTTGAGAACATTGCTTCTTGTTCTGTCATTGGTCACCACTGAGATCAGTCTAACTTCATCCTCTTTGGAACCACCCTTCAAGTAGTTAAAATATGCTATCAGATCCCCTCTCAGTCTTCTCTTCTCCAAACTAAATAAACCCTGTTCCCTCAGCCTCTCCTCATAAGTCACATGCCCCAGCTCCCCAAAGCATTTTCGTTGCTCTCCATTGGACTCTCTCCAGCTTGGAGAAAATTGGAGGATTGTGAGCTTAACTCCAAGACAGTCAGGTGGGTGAGAAACTGGTTGCAGGATAGGACCCAGACAGTCATAGTGAATGGATCTGTGTCATCCTGGCGAGGAGTGGGCAGCAATGTCCTGTAGGGATAGGTGTTTGGTCCTGTACTTTTCAAAATCTTTATTAATGATTTGGATATGGGGTTGAAGAGCTCACTGGCCAAGTTCACAGATGACACCAAGTTATGGGGAAGTGTGTTTACACTTCAAGATAGGCTGCAGATACAGGCTTACCTAGACAGGCTAGCAAGTTGGGTAGATCAGAATCTGATGAAGTTCAACATTGAAAAATGTCCACCTTGAGAAAAGCAGCCACCAACACACCTACAGGCTTGGCAGCACCAAACTGGCTAGCACCACAAATGAAAGGGACCTGGGGGTAATAATAGACCACAATATGAATAGGTGCTGGCAGTGTGATAATCAATCGATGCATCTCCAGAAAAACCAAGGAGGTGGTTCTTCCACTCTGCTCAGCACTGGTGAGACCACAGCTGGAGTACTACATCCAGTTCTGGGCACCACACTTTAACAAGGTCATGGACAAGCTTGAGAGAGTCCAAAGAAGAGCCACCAGTATGATCAGAGTCTTACACGGCAAGCCACATGAGGAAAGGCTGAGGGTTCTGGGAGTCTTCAGCCTGAGGAAAAGAAGGCTGAGAGAGTACCTGGTAGCAGCTTACCATGACACGAGGGGAGTACATCAAGGGGTTGGTGAGCAACTGTTCACCAGGGCACCCAAGGGGAAAACCAGAAGTAAGGCCACAAAGTCCTGGAAGACCGATTCTGGCTCCACATTAGGAAAAACGTCTTCACAGTCAGGGTGTCCAGACTGTGGAATAAGCTCCCTCCAGAGTTAGTGCAATCACCTACCCTGGAAATCTTCAAGAGGAGACTAGACAGTCACCTTGCTGGGATCACCTGACCCCCAGTTATTTTTCCTGCTTGGTTCAAGGAGCTGGACCTGATGATTGTCCAAGGTCCCTTCCTGCCTTACAATCTATGAATGAATCTATGTATCCTTTCTATAGCATCACGGGGAGACCTGGGAGGCACATGCCCCCTGGATCTGTGCATGGGGCAGAGGTGGGCTGCCGCTGTGAGCTGGACTGTGCACCTCACTGCTGCTGCCCTGGAGCAGCATGATGCCATGTACCTGCCTTGCATGGGGTGCAGAGTCCAGCCTGCTGCGGCAACCTGTCTCCACCCAGTGCACAGATCTGGGGGATGCATGCTCTCCAGGGTGCGCACAGTGCCCCTGGACAAGCTGCCCAGGCTCTGAGCATCCCATAACCCATCTCAGCTCTGGAGCTCCATTCACTCCAGCCCTTGCCCCTGCCTGTGCCCCACTCCCTGCCTCACTACAGGGGCCTCAATCTGCGCCCCCCCCCCCATGCCCCTTCCCCACAACAGACTTACCTGCTAGGAGAGGAGGGTGCAGTGTGCATGCACACACAAAAGTGCATGCATGTGCTCAGCCCCCCCAAATAATATTTTCTCCCTCTGCCTATGCAACCAACCCATGCTTCCTCAACTTGCTTGCGAGAATACTGTGGGAGATGGTATCAAAAACCTTGCTAAAGTCAAGGGATATTATGTCCACTGGTCTCCCTGCAAACACAGAGCCAGTTATCTCATCATAGAAGGCAATCAGATTGGTCAGACATGACTTGCCTTTGGTGAATCCATGTGCCTTAAATGACTTGAGGTGCAGCAAAAAATACTCCTCTGAGTTTTAGTTTGCTGCCCCTAGAGCCGCAGAGCAAAGTACTGGACTCTATGCAGCTCAGGGGCTCTGTAGGCAGCCTGGCAGCATCCCACGAAGGCAGGCTCTGCCCAAAAAAAGTGGTGAGCCTGATCTATTCCCCCACACCCACCCTGGAGTCTGCCTGTCTGCCTGAGCTGTGCAGGGCCTGGTGCTTCCTTCCATGGCTGCAGTGCCCCCTGGGACTGCCTGAGCTAGGTACCTGGTGCTGCAGAGAGAAGTAACAGCCTCCCCCCCTGCAGCCCAGGACTGCTCCACTCACTGGCAGCTCACCCTCCCCTGCCCAGTGCCAGAGAGGCAGGTAAGTCAGTGGGGTGTGTGCATAACACAGGGGTTTAAAGGGCCCTAAACTGAAGCAATGTTTTTAAAAACCCACCACTTCAATTTAGGGCCCCTGTTTCATCAGCACACACCCCAGGATCTAAACTCTGCTGTTCTCCTTCCTTTTGTCAGGATCCTGTACTCAAAGGAGTACAAGTCCTATTGAAAGTTAATAACAGATGGGTCCTATGCTTGTTATTCTGCAGGCCTTGTTACACAGTAATTTTAGGTAGCTCTTGGAGCTCTTAACATCTGGATTGTCTGCACATACCTGAAACTAGTTTTAAGCACTTAAACTTACACCACTCCAGACTAGGATCTCTCTCTGATCCATTTTAGCCAGCTTGTGTTACACTAATATGTGGACACTCTAGGCTACACCTTAGTATAAACACCCCACCTGCCCTTCTCCCCCACTGGCCCTTACTGCTCATCCCCTCCCCCTCAGCACCCCAAATCCTCACTCACTGCTCCCACCCCATCCCCTCACCTCACTTACTTGTGGCTGCCTACACTCTGTGTTCTGGGGGAACAGGCAAGGAAGGGTTAACTTGCCTACCCAGTGGCTGTCACAACTTAGCCCAGCCCAGTCCAGAAGGTAGCAGCATCTGGGCAGGCAGGTTAACCCTTTTCCGCCTGCTCTACTTTGACAGACAGCATGGATAGCAACAAGTAAGTGGGGTGGGAGAGCCCCCCCAGGGCAGTGTGGGGGGCAAACGGGGGAGCCATTGAGGAAAGGGTACAGGGGGAATCTGAGAATGGGAAGTGGGGAGGAGTCTTACCTTTCAGTACTGTAGGCTCCTGCTGGCCTGAAATATGACTGCTTCAAACTCAAGGTAGCACTAACATCAATCAACATTTGTGTGGCTCACAAGTATAAGATGTAACAAAGCCCTGAGATTTTTTTGAAAATCCCTTCCTAAACTCTCAAGTTTACAACCTTACTAACATTTCATTTTATTTATTTATCATAACATATTTGATCCAAAGGACTGAACAGTGTTCCCTCACAGCTCATTTAATTAATATTGAGACATACCACTTTGTAATAGCTGTACTCAGTAGTGTAACAAGCTGAGCTGGTTCCTGGGGCAAACCCTGCTAGGGAGTGGGAGAGTGAGGCATGTGGCTCAGACAGTGGGTGGGGGATCACATGGTTCTGAGAGGAGGAGGGGCAAGGGTTTTGAGAGCAGGGGTAGGCAGAGGATGGAGCACTAGCATGGTTTCTAAGGGAGAGGGCACGGGGCATATGTACTGAGAATGGAAAGGGCAGGGTGGGGCAGCAACTTTACCCAGCTAGGAACTTCTAAACAGTCCTCACTGAGCTGCTGTTACTGCATATGCTCTGTCCACCCCAGCTGTTTCTTTTAAAGCAACAGCAGACCTGGACTGTTTTGGAGTTCCTGGTATGGCAAGACTGGTGACACCCAGATTCTGCAGTGGTGGGGGCACGATTCTGGTGCCCCCCCCTACCTGGGTGCCCATTGTGGGTGCCCCACTTGCTCACCCCCAGTTGAAGTACTGGCTGTTAGGGCTGTGCAAAGCTTAAGTCTTTGATTCAATTCAGTGGAGTTTTGGCCCAATTTGCTGGCTGAATCTCTGAATCTGAATCAAATCAGATGACCCTTTAATCTCTCTGAATCGAATCGAAACCCTCCAAATCAATTTGAACAGATTCAGAAAGATTCAGCAATTTGGACACCGAGACAGCTTTAAATGTTTTTTCTACATACCTCAAGGTAGCAGGAGCTCATGAATGCTGCGATGCTAGGGCACATGGAGTGTCCCACAGAAGCATGGGGAGCTCCCTAGCACACTTGGTAGCAGACCTGGAAGTGGACCAGAAGCATTTCCGGTCCACTTCCGGGTCCGCTGGGGAGTGTGCTGGGCCACGCCCATTCAGCTTGGCAATTGGTGCCTCCTGGTTCTGGGGAGGCACCTGGGGTCCCCCTATGGCCAATTGCCAAGCTGAGGGGGCATGGGGGGGGGCCCCCGTGTGCTCCCTGACAGACCTGGAAGTGGACCAGAAGTACTTCCAGTCTGGAGCAGCCCTTCACAGGCATTTCACCTGCTTGCTGCTGGAGTGGAGGAGGGTTCTGGCCAGATGCTGGCCCAAGTACTTCCAGTCCACTTCCGGGCTCACTGCTGAGCACATGGAGGCCACCCTGCATCCCCTGCACTCCTGTGGGATGCCCCATGCACCCCAGCATTGCAGCATTCATGAGCCATGATGATACCTGGAGGTATGTAGAAAAAACTTTTAAAGCTGTGTCTATATCCAAATCGCTGATTCTCCAAATCAGCATCGACTCTTCAGATTCAGTTGAATTGAAGCAGGGACACTGATCCAAATCAACAAATCAAATCACTGTCCCTGATTCGGGCCAAATCTGACTCCAAATCAAATAGGGCCCACTTCTCATACCTCTACTGGCTGATTCTAATGCTTGTTTAATATGTCAACAATGATAACACTAAATACATAGAAATTTTATGTTGTTTTGAAATAGCTAGTCATTTGAAAATATTTTCTAACGTTTGATTTCCATTTGAAACCCATGTCACCTTTAAACTGGGGAACACTAGGCACAGTACATCTTGATTCATCAAGCACTGGTGGAATACAATCAATTTGGTGAAACAGAAGTCCCTCTCTTAGAACTGCATACTTACCTTAACAACCTAAAGAGAAGAGACCAACCCAATGAACCATCTCTGCTGGAAGCAGAATTCCAGGTAAATATACCAGCACAATCTGTTTAACTTGACTCTAGTTTGATTTGTATTAATTTAGTTTTATGGAATAATACAAAGACTTCATTTATTTAAAATAAAATCAATGGAGCCAGGAATTTCTCAAAGTGCAAATTAGGCCCCTGAAATATTTTTATAGAGTCTCAATTGCTCTAGTTTTTTGTTTGTTTGTAAGTTGACATTGTAAATTTGTATTTTTGAATGAAGAGTACAAATATATATTTATATGAATTACAAGTGGTAGCTTTTTTTTTTTTGTTCTCATTTTTCCTGCCTTTATTGTTCAATAGCTGAATTTTGTCTTACAAAGATTTATATGTGGAATATGACGGACACATTTATCATTTCATATGAGTTGACCAGCAGCATGTATATGATAAGTATTTAGTGTTCTGGCCTACAAACTTTTCCACATCACTTCAGAAGAAAGGCATGTGACTGAATAGAACAGCCTGTAGAATCAAGGCCATAGAATAAAGAAAAAATATTACAAAATAATTTATCTCAGAGCTATTGATTTACTTGTCACTATAATCTTATTTGAATTTATCAAGATCTGGCAATGCAAATTGCCATTACTATTCCATGTATTTAATTAGAAATATGTGCATTTGATACATGTACAGGAGAAGCACCAATGTCCTTCAGTGTCTTTTCTGTGTCATATGGACTATAACATACTTTTGTTATACAGATTTTGTGAAATCTGTATGTTCTTTTTTCTCAGAGGCTACCAACCTACAAGGGATGGCGGACACAGAACACTGGGAATCGTGAAGAAAATAAAAGTAAAAACAGGAATTCCAAAGTAATTCCATGTGAGTATTCGTAGCTATGCCTATGGACAGTTTGTTCTAAGTAAATGAAGATACTTTGAAAGGAATAACAAAATAGGACAGTACATTAACTTATGAATAATATGTATTTTAAATTAACTTACTACTCTCTAAAAAGTAAGTGATATGTTAAAGAGTAAACTGTTATTCATGCCTGATTTTTTTACAGCAACCAAGTTGCCATTGAAAGTGACATCTGTGCCTAACTGCCCTTTTGCTTCATAGAGTTTCCTTTAAACAAAACTAATGGGAAGATCATTGGCTTTTTGTTCATGTGAAATAGAATAAAGAAATAGAGAGAATTTATTGGTGTGATTTTTTTTCTTATGTAGATGATTTTAACCGTGTACCAATTAAACATGAAGAGGAGAAAAGCAAAGAGAGTGAACATGATTCAGATGAATCCTCTGATGAGGACAGTGAAAGTGAGGAAGCAAGCAGATACATCAATGCTTCATTCATATCTGTATGTATTTATAAGAGGGATTACACTCATCTAATGTAAAGTCACCAATAATAGCTAGGTGCTTATTTTTGCTTATGTCACAAGTAGCCATATTGGCTTCATGCATAAAGATGTAGTTGTCTGTATAAAGGACATACTTCATTTAGATATACATTTATGGATTGTATCACAAAGATCTAATATTTGATGAAACTCCAACCTTATACGTTAGGGACAGAAGTTACACATAAACCAGTTTAAGTGATCAGAAACTGGTTTAGACCTGTAACAGAACAGTTCAGTGTACTTAAACCACTTTCAAAATGGTCACAACTGGTTTAAGATTAATCTGGTTGCATGTAGTATCAGACTGAGTTGATTTAGGTCAAACTGGTTTATAGAACTTCTGTCCAAGACCCCTTCCTGGTTCAAGTTAACTCAAAAGTTAACTTGAAGTCAGAAGTTAACTTGAACTCAGAAGTTAACTCCAAGTCCCCCAGAATGCTGCAAAGCAGGGTTTGCCTTACCCCTCTGCTCCCAGCCAGCCTCGCTGGCCGAGAAGGGGGTGCGGGTGAGAAACCTGGCTCCAGACCCCAACTGGGGTCTGCCTGGTTGGGGTGGAGCAGCCCTTCACAGGCATTTCACCCACTTGCCGCTGGAGTGGAGCAGGAGTATAGACAGATGCTGGCCCAAGTCAGCACACTGAGGCAAAGGGGAGGGAAGAAGATTTAAGCCACCTTGCCTGCCCACATGGGATTCCAGGTGAGGTCTGCCTGGCAGTGAAGAAGCAGCCCCTGATAGGTTTTCCCCACTTGCCACTGGAGCAGGGAGCAGAGTAAAAGCCTGTTAAGTGCTGCTCCACCCCTGCAAGGCAGACCCCTGCTGGGGTACTATGGGGGCCGGGGAGGGGGTTCTGGCCCAAGTTGGTTTCTGGTCATGCCTCCACAACCCCACCTCTGATCCAGTGAGGATCAGGGGAAAAGCCTGCTAGGGGCTGCTTCTTCCTGTGCCCCTGCACATTCTGGCTGGGATCTGTCCAGAGCAGGGTGGGTGTTTAACCTCCCATCATACTCAGCAGGCCTGCCAGGCCCTGGCCATGCCCCCTCCCCCCCAGCTCGAGTGTGAGGTGTGGGGAGGGGAAGCCTCAGAGTGCATCTCTTACAGCTTTCCTCCAGCCTTCTGGCCACTGCAGAAGGGAAGGGAAGGAAGGCTGTAGTGCCCCCCCACCTGCCCCGCAGTTTCTGGCCTGAGCTATTACTATATTTCCAGAATCAAAAGTGGATGTTTGTGCACTTGCTTATTGGTTCAATCTGTGCAGTTTAGACTAACCTGCAGAGATTGAATCAGTTCAGCCTTGAGCTTTTTGACTGTCTGTACTTAGCCATACAATCCTAGTCTGCGCAACCTCAAAGCGTTAACTAATTTAGCAGTAGTCAGAAATTGAACAGGCAGCATAATAAATATAATGAATGTAAATAAAGCAACTAACTTTCCTTGTTTTGTTTTTTTTAATCTGAAGTTCAGATAGGTCATAGTCCAGTCTATACTTTTTCCAGCAGGAA